TATCTGTACTGTCAGTGTCATCATCAACTGGCATTGAACTAGTCACTAGTAATTAAAATAGTTTATTATATTGTAGACACATAACAAACCTGTTATCAAAGATGTTGTAATACTGTTTGATAGTATTATTCTTGATGAACTATGCCAAGTTGATGTTGTAGGTATAATAGTAGATATACTCTTGGCATTACTGGTTGATGATATTACACTTATTGAAGTAGTGGATTCAATACTTGATACGGTTAGTGACTCAGCTAAAATAAAAGAGACAAATTGACAAACATAATTTATCATGAAAATGATGTCTATGATAATGGTAGGATTTTGCCTCCTGTTTGCAATCCTGAGCAATGATGATGAAATATAGCATTTCAAACTTTCCCATGATCCCAAAATTATATATAACTGATGCTTTGCTTGCTTATAGGCTCTAAATAAAACAATAATAAAAGATCACTAACCATCAGCATCATTAATAGTTACAGTAGCATCAGGTCCAGTAACTGTCAATGGAGTTCCACTAACAAATTCTAAAGATGCACTGAATTGTTCAGCTGGTTCAGCCTCTGAATTAGAAAGGATGGTGACAGTGTAATAATGTCCTGTAGAACTAGCAGGTAGAGTGATGGTTTGATTAAAAGCCACATAATCCACTCCAGCTATATGAAAGAGAGTAAATAATTCATGCAGTTCAAATAAATTAAATTCAAATACTAACCAGTAGCTTGATTAGTTGCTCCAGGAGTTGGTATACTGGTTATTCTAATAGTGGATGCTTCAAGAAGAGGCTGAGATGTCACAAATGTGATATTAAGCATTACATTACTATCACCCTCAGTGACAGTATAAGGTACAGGATCAAACATTATAGTGGCAGCTATTAAGAAAAATGATAGCCATAATAGTTATACCAAAAGCATTGCTTTATAGTTCACTTACAGTCATCATTAATTATTCCCAGCTCAGCTTGTGATGGCGTTCCAATATTAATGTTTTGGCCTGGAACAAAACCAACCAAAAATGTTTCAAATGGTTCTGGATTGGCATCATTAATGAAACTGAAATTCGCAACAGCTGAAGTTTGACCAGCAACAAAATTAACAGTGGAAGACTGTGTCTGCAAATCAGTGCCAACTGAAGTATAAGAGAAAGATGGAATAGTTAGACTAGAGAGTAAATTAAAATTAATTATTATCTTACTTGTTGCTGCATTGACGCTAGCTGCAGAAAGGAGAAAAAAGAAAAAGTTAATACAATACAAGAATATATTTAAACTCACAAGACATAACTGTTGTGATTTGAACCGAACTAGCAGCAGAAATATTACCAGATTTATACACTGTAACAGACACTGGACCCAGAGTACCCTCCCTGGCTGATGATATGAGGGGCTCAATAGTGTAAAAAGTTTCTGAAAGAAAGAAATCAACAAGCAAATTATGTTTTGTGTATACCTGCAATAGGTCTCATTCCAAAGCCAGCAGGATAGGCATATCCTTTCTGGTCCCCCCAACCAAACAATACTGCACTGAATGAACAGGTAGAGTCAGCATGTCTTAGAAGATGAGTTCCTTGTGATATGTTCATAGAGATACCATAGCCACAT